TGTCTAGATAGTATTTGGAAGTTATTAGCAACATTACATTTGTATCTTCATTCCAGTCACATTGGATCGCACATAAGCACAAAGTATACTTTGTCACGTGTACATATACACATGATGTTAATTTAGTCTTCAGCATAGTACAGTTTAAACGTTGTATGTGCAGGTGCAAATGGCCATTGATTTTTTTTTTCTTTCACTGATTGGAACAACAACAGATGCCTGCATTGACAAGCACCTGTGTGATGGGGTTAAGAGAAAAACCTGCAACCCTACCCATAGGAAAAACGTATTGCTCAGTGGTTGCTCTTCCTAAGCTGAGACATAGATAAGATTCGCATATATCTCTCATTTTAGTATCAACAGCATTTCAGATGTTTCTCCTAAAATTCCTTAGGATAAATAGAAGTAGATACAAATGAGACTTGAGAAATATTTGAGAAAAAAAAGAGTCAAAACTGAGAATGTGGTGCAAGAAATATAGAATATCTCTTTATTGTCTCGCTGCAATCTATATCAAGACTCCATTATAGGGATATTTTATTGCTCAGAGTTTGCGCTTTCTAAAATCTGGAGACTTAGTTGTGATTCTCATGTATTTCTCATTTTAGTATCAACAGCATTTCAGATGTTTCTCCTAAAATTCCTTAGGAGAAATAAAAGTAGACACAACTGAGACATGAGAAATATCTGAGAGAAAGGAGTCCAAAATGAGAATGGACTGTGAGAAACATGGGAGATCTCTTTATTGTCTTGCTGTAATCTCTTTCAAAAATGGCTTGGACCCGAGTCATCAGAGCATGCTAAAATAATTTGTTCTATATATGTTCTTCATCCTGAATCAGGCCTTAACATGCTGTGGCAAAGACTGGAGGAAAGTTATGGAGCACCAGAGATGGTGGAGCATGTCTTGTTGAAAAAGCTAGAGGACTTCCCAAGGCTTAGCAACAGAGAAAGTCACAAACTTAGAGAATTAGGAGATATCCTACTAGAATTGGAATGTGCTAAGTGTGAAGGGAACCTTCCTGGACTTGCATATTTGGACATGGCTCATGGATTGAAACCCATAGTGGAAAAACTCCCATACAGCCTGCAGGAGAGATGGATAACTGAAGGATTTAGATACATGGAAGAGTACAACTGTCACAAACGAGACTCCCGCTGTGCCTCCCGCTCACCACCAGAGGGAGCTCTCTCCCGAGTTTTGAACTTCAATCTGGACTACACACATACACACACGCTCACATACCTGGCTCTGATTGCTCCTGCACCTGACTCTCATTAGTGGACTATTTAAACAGCTCTCAGACTCGCCCTCATTGCAAAGTCTTGTATTGCCCCGGTGTACATTTCTGAGCGTTTCTTTCCGTGTCTGGCTTCTCTGTGTATTACCTTGGACTGTTTCTCTCCTTCTGATTGCCTGCCGTCTGCCCCCTGAACTCTTGCTATTGTTTCATTGACTACTGATTGTTTGCTGCCTGCCCCGACCTTTTGCACGTCCCTGGATAACGAAAAAAAAACAAAGAGTAACCAGAGCACACGGCTTGATAGATGGTGCATCTAAATTGTCTTTTTTGGGACACTATTTGTTTGTAAATGACTGAAATATATACTGTCTAGCTTTGCAGAACAACGCATCGTGAGGACAGTATATACCATGGGTGGCGAACATCGGTCCTGGAGAGCCGCAGCCCTGCAGAGTTTTGGTTCAACCCTAATCAAACACACCTGAACAAGCTAATCAAGGTCTGAACAGTTACTAGGAAGCTACAGGCAGGTGAGTTTTAATTAGGGTTGGAGCTGAACTCTGCAGGGCTGCGGCTCTCCAGGACCGGAGTTCGCCACCGCTGGTATACACCATCAGACCACAGAAACTGATTAATGTTGGATGTGTTCCTATACAGGCCGATCCACTTGTATGCTGAGAGTTCTACTGTTAGCTGTATAAGCAAGTCTTGATCTTGTTGACTTGTGATGGTTGACAGATCTTTGTAATATTACCTGCAGTAACTCTGAGCATCAGTCCAGTTCTTGGGGATATTCACATAGAAATGCTCCCTAATTAAAGCTTTAGTCAGTACACAAGACAATCAGGAGAATGATGGACGCTTTCATCTTTCCAGTGAGGTGCTGAATAAGTGCTATAAGGCTTGTGTTGTAACCCTCCAAGATGATGATGTGTAATGTGTCCACATTATGTATAAATCATTTAAAAGATATGTAAATTAATATAAGATGTCTGAACCCACCCCCTGAAAAACTCATGTAAAGGTTTGCAGGTACCGCATGTACTGGAATTTTTCAAAGAGGATCGAGTGTTCCACTCAAATTTTCATAGGGAAATTACTGAATTCACTTTGATAACAGGATGTAATGAAAAACAAGTAAGGCAGTTGAATAAACATACAGAAATGTTGCCTAAAACACAGTGTAACCAAACACTAAATAAATTCCTTCATAAGTATATTCCATCATTGTCAGATATTCTTTCCAGTTTAACAAGAGCATAGAAATGCATTACATTAAAATTTCAGATAAATGATCAAAAACAAACAAATTAACTACATTTTAATTTCATTAACATCAACTCCAAAATTATTTATTGCGTTTTATTAGCTTATTTGATAAAACTATGGCTGTCAAAATTAACGCTTTAATTGTGCAATTATTATTATTATTATTATTCAGTTTAACATGTTAAAAATATTTAACACAATTAATGCAGCATCCATTTTTTACTTAGTATCGTTTGGCTAGTGTTACAGTAGACTATATGAACACACTAAAAAGCATGATAAGATGCAAAAGAGAGCTTAATGTGCTACTAGCACGCTGTGAACAAAGGCATATGGCCGTAACCAGGGGTGGGGTTAAGAACTGTGCTTTAAGAACCCCTACAAATACAACTCATTATATACACTAAACACTTTAAAAAAGCCAGACATGTAGATGTTTGTGAAAGATGTTTTGGAGGAATGATGTTAAATTAGGCTATACCATATTTATTACATCAAAATTTGTTAATATTTACTATAGGTTTTGTTTTTTTTGCGTATGACTTACCGAATGTGGTATGGTATCCTGTCAGCAATAACCTGTCAGTAGGCTTTTTTGATCACTGTCAGTTTAAGAGCCGGCGATCAGTGTTGCCAGATATAGCTATGAAAACAAATAAAAACCGAAAAATAAATAAAAAATAAACCGAAATTAGCTCAAATCTTTTACAAATAAGATAAGATAAAGATATCGCTAACCCTAAACTGCAGCTTCCCACTTTAAAGTGTCAAATTAAGTGGAAAAGACAAGTCCAAAGACGCTTATAATAGCTGGATCTGGCAGGCTGCGCCCGCGCCCTCACTCACAACTTTTTTTTATTTTTTTATTAAACATATATAAAGGTAAATACACACATTTACAGCTCAAAACAGATTACAAAAACAGATATAAACAATATACAAAAGA